AAAAAGACTGTGCTTCTGTGCTTTCGGGTTTAAAATTTGTTTCACAATTTTCGCGAAATTCTAAAAATCGAAGTGATCAATTTCTTGTAAAAGTTGTACGATAAAAAATAAAAGTGAACATCTTAGTTAACACCGATTTTTAGTCGGTATAAAAGATTTCCTTTTCCTTTACGTAGAGTTTTTCAGTATGTTTATCAATTTCTTATGCAAAGATTCTAAATGAAAAATGAAAGACAAGCACACAAATAATCTCGAAAATAAGTAACCATCGGAGAATTCTCACTACCTGTCGTGCAGCATGATACAATAGGTAAGAAGCACAATGGTGGTTCTCGAGTCGCGTGCTTTGCTTTCCTTGCGCTTAAGTTCTAAGCTAAGATCGAAGAGCAAAACGCTGACTGAAATGCAATTTAACGCTAGATTGCAGCGAAGCTAGTCGCTTTGCCGCTGTTTGTATTTACGCTCAAACAACATCGAAACAATATTTAACAAAGTATGAAATTAAAGCTTCGATAATAATTTCGGCAGTCGTTAATCACCACTGAAAAAATTTTTCAAAATTCACGAAATAACTCGATTGACATCGCTGTATATTACACGTTTGCTCGTCAAAAAGCGTTGCAAACTGAAAAATGCAAAGTGTATTTTCACTTCGAAGTCTCCTAACCATTCTTTGACTACGTCAGACATTATCTGCTCGTATATCTCTGTCACCTCTGTAGCTTTATAACATTATCTGCAAAAATTCTATGCAAGTTCACGATTACAAAAATTCCTTCCAGTAGAATTAATCATTTTCACGCAATTTTTGTAATCACATCAAATTTCATATTCGTTCCCATTTCGATGGAATATTTTTCTTTTAAAATTTGGAAAATTGTTCGTTTAGAATAAACGTAAATTTCTGTCGTAATTGTATTTTTTTTTATTTTAAATAGCAGTGGAATATTATCTCGGAGATTGCAGATATTTTCTAAGTGGAGGTTTTAATTTAAAATATACTTAAATATCGACGTAATTCACCGAGGTTAATGATAACCCTTGGAATTGGGTTACTAATCAGACAAACAAGATAACATCGTTTTATTAAACCGTAGCGAAATGACTCTGACAATAATTAACAAGTTACACAGTAGGTACCTTTTGTTCGATCGCTAATTGGGTGGAAAGAGATACAGGATCGGAGCGGACTAGCATGGAACAATACGATGTTAATAACTGCAGATGCAACAATATAAAAGCTGCCTGTGATCGCCAATTGAACTAAATTCAATGGAACATTGGTAATTAGTGAACAAACAACGAGATTCCCAGTTTTCTACTATTTCAAAATTAAACCTCTGAATACCTGCATCAATCTTTTCAACCAACTGGTGTGTACGCTAAGTTGACGTATTATTTGTTAATTATGAAATCCTTCGTGCAATATTTTCTAGATTAATAATTCTGCGAACTGCGAACAAAATTTTTTTATCGTAAACAGAAAGGAATTTGTGAAATGTAAAATGTATTTACAGAATATAGGAGGAGGATGAGGATCCATTTTTTGACATTTTTTTATATTCCAGTACACATGGATGCACTTTTTATGGTAGAATTCATTTTTGTATTTAGAAATGGGAAAAGAGAATTTTGTAGTTTAGTTATTGAGCGATTATTCATTTTTAATTAGAAACTTGAGAGATTCAATTTCTGTAGCACATTTAAATAAATATGGATGCATTTTTTATAGTAGAATTCATTTTTAAACTTAGAAATGGGAAAAAGAGAATTTTTAGAACGCAATAATTTATTTACTGAGGGATTATTCGGTTTTAATTAGAAACTAGAGAGATTCAACTTTTGTATCGTATTTAAAAAAATATGGATGGACTATTTTTTACGGTAGAATTCATTTTTGTATTTAGAAATGGGAAAAAGGAGAATTTTCAGAACGCAATAGTTTATTTACCGAGAATTAGCTCATTCTCAATTTTTCTTAGTTTCCAATTAGAAACTAGAGAGATTGAATTTCCGTGTGATTAGGCGAACTCAGTGAACGGGTTAAAAGTTTCGAAATGATCAATTGCGCAAGGGGCGTCGATGATTTTTTCTGTAGGTTTTTCCTATTCAACTATTCACGCTAATCGCCCGAAATGAATTACGAGGACGCGCACCGATCATAATGCGCGGCCAATATCTGGCTACAGTCGTGTCACGAAGAGTACGTGTCGGCTCGCAAACGCGACATACCAATGGTTACGTGCCGGGAGCCGCGGCGTTCGAAACGAACGCCAGCTTGAATATTTCACGAGTACCAGAAATTATTGCGACCGCTTCCGAAACGCTGGCCTCCTCGACTCTTTCCAGTCGTTCCACGATTTTACGACCGTTTCTAGCTTCGGTTAGGTAAGAGTTAGATTTTTAGGCGGGATCCGTTCAAATTTCGTTCGTGTTTGCCATGGATTACATGGAAGATTTTTTACAATTTCTGAGTTTGGTAAAGAAAACTTGCGAAGAAGATTTCCGAGGATATTTCAGGATTTTTACATTTAATTTTATTTATTTTAAGTTTGATCAAAAATATTTCCAGTCTTAGAAGAAGA